TCCAGGTTTCCTGCCGGATTTCCCGCTTTCCGCCTCTCCCCGCGCCAGGATCCGGCCTTTTCCCTCCCCTCCCGCCCCAAATCCCGCTGGAAAACGCGCGGCCCATTCCCGACGTTGCGGCTTCACCGCCCCCAACCCCTCCTCGCTCCGCGTTCCCGCAGGATCCCGGCGGTGCCTCCTCGTCCCAATCCCCGTTCCCTCCGCACCCACCCGCTCCAACCCCCCCGGGGAACCGGGAATTGCGGGGGGCACATCCCGGGATCCTGCCCTTACCTGCCGGCCCCGCGTGCGGCTCCGGGCGGTGCCCAGGTGAGGGCGTTGCCCTTTCCCGGCCTCACCTTTCCAGTTTGGCCGGAACGAGGAGCGGCCCCCGCGGATCCTCCCCCCCCCCCCCGCCCCGTTAACCCCTCGCTGGCTGCGGGGCGGGGTTTTGGGTGGAAAACCGGGGGGATTTGGGGCTCGCGGGAGGGGAAAATCGGGGTGTTTGGGGTTTTCTTTTGCGGGACGCGTTTTCCCTGAGTCCCGTGCGCTGGAGGAGTGGGGGGGACACAGCGGGACAACCCTTCCCCCCCCTACACCCTTCAGTCACCCTAAACCCGCCGGCGGGGCCCCCTCTGCCCCCTCCCCGATCCCAGACGGAGATTTGGGGGTTTTGTCGCATTTCCCACCTTTATTTCGGACGGGAGGGGGGGGGTTGGGTTTGGGAAGCTCATCCCGAGGAAGGAATTTGGGGCAGACGCCCCCGTTTCCCGCGGGCTCAGGGGGTGCGGAGGGGCTCGGGGGGGGGATCCTGGGTGGGGGTTTCACCGCGCGGGGTGTCCTGGCTCGTGTCCCGGCTCGTGTCCTGCTCCGGTGTCCCGGGACAGCCCTGGGAGAGACACGGGGGGGTCACCGACACCTCGCCACCCCCTTAAACCGCACCCAAAAACGAGTCCTCCCCCCCCCCGGGGGGGGGGGGTTCAGGTCCCCCTCCCTCCAGCCCCCCCCTCCCGCAGCAGCGTCTCACGGGGCTGGCTTTGTCCCCTGAACCCCCCTCCCCCTGTCCCAACGCCCCCGTGTCCCCGCGTCCCTCCCGGGTGCCCCCCAAAAACCGGGAATCCCCCCCGGGGTGTCTCCCAGAACTTTCTCCCGCGGGTTCCGCTCACCCGCGGCTCCGCGTCCGCCGCCTCCGCGCTGTCCCCGCGCTGTCCCCCGTCCGCGCCGGGCTGTCCCGAATCCCGGGGACGCCGCGGGACATCGCGGGGGCCATCCGGGCTTGGGGCCATCCGGCCCTCCCCGCTGGTGGCCCCGCCGTCCCCCGCGGTGGCCGCGGTTGTCCCCGGCTCCGGTGACGCGCTGCCGGCGGCCCGAGCGACGGCCTCGGACAGAATCAGCGACACCAAGGAGGCGGCGATGCCCTCGGGGCCGGAGGGGTCGGGGGTCACCGATGTCCCCTCGCCTTGGGCGGTGTCCGGGGGGTCCTCGCTGGACACCGACGCCGTGTCCAGGGACCCCGCGCTGGCGGGTGAAGCCGGGGGCGGCCCGGGGGACACGGCCCCCAGGTCCCCGTTGGCGGTGCCACCATCGATGGCAGCGGTGTCACCCCCCCCGGGGGACCCCCCTGTCCCCGCGGGCGCCTTGTCCGGGCAGGGGAACATGGGCGGGGGGCTCAGGGGGGGGGGAGATGATCAGGGAGCGGCGGTTGCTGCGGAGGGGGGGACAGAGAAGGGGGGGGACAGAGGAGGTTCAGCCCCAAACGTTGATGTCCCCAAAGACCCCTGGGGACACGCGGCACCGCCGTGTCACCGTCCCGCTCGCGGGTGTCGCTTCCCCACCCGGCGGGACCCGGAATAATCACCCCGAGACCAGTGACCCCAGTGTCCCCAGTGACCCCAGTGTCCCCAGTGACTCCAGTGACTCCAGTGTCCCCACTGTCCCCCCAGTGTGTCTCCAGTGTCCCCAGTGCCCCCAGTGTCGCCCCAGTGTAACCCCAGTGTCGCCCCAGTGCCCCCAGTGACCCCAGTGTCGCCCCAGTGTCCCCAGTGTCCCCTCAGTGTGTCTCCAGTGGCCCCAGTGACCTAGTGTCCCCAGTGACCCCAGTGTCTCCCCAGTGTTGCCCCAGTGTCCCCAGTGACCCCAGTGTCCCCCGTGTTGCCCCAGTGTGCCCCAGTGTCCTCAGTGTCCCCCCAGTGCCCCCAGTATCCCCATTGTCACCCCAGTGTCACCCCAGTGTCGCCCCAGTGTCGCCCCAGTGCCCCCAGTGTCCCCCAGTGTCACCCCAGTGCCCCCAGTGTCCCTCCAGTGCCACCCAGTGTCGCCCCAATGTCCCCCAGTACCCCC